AGTGGCTGTGAAGGCCATGTGGGTCTGGTTTTAAGGTTTCCTTCTACCACTGAATCACAGATTTTCCCACAAATATTTCATTAAAAATACTTATGTCAGACACAGTTATAAAATCAACACAGGAATGTGGGTTACACAGGCTCAAGGCTCTCTCACCAACCATCACAACAACTGCAGCTCCATCCAAGTAGTGTGCTGGTTTTGCTTATGGTTTAAGAGTCTATTATGGATCCTGCTTTTGTTGCCTATAGTAGCGATCATGCATGGAATGAATGAATGGGGGTTATATCCCTTTTAAAGCAACCTGCTGAGGATCCTCACCAGCCAGTGTATAGAGATAACTAGACAAACATGAGTGTACAAAGTACACTGTGGTCTGTGTAATTCCAGTATGTTCACTTAAATGTCTATGAAGGTAGAGGTCCATGTGTTCTTTGATTATGAAGCTACTCTTGGTTCTTTATAAATACTGTGAAAGTATCAAAACCTCAGTCCTCAGAGAAATACACACAGACTGTATTCAGAAACCGAGCCTTAAAACCAGCTAATAAGATAATCATGTCACAGTTTATTGGTTTTATGGTCTCACGTGACCATGCTGTTACAATTAAGGCATTGTAGTAGATCCTTAAAATCAGCTGTTGGACTTCTGTAACTTTGTGATGTCACAACAAAGCAGTCACTGGTCTGAGCTATGCCCAGAGCCATACCACCACTATCCAACCTTGCAGGTTCTGGTTTCTCTGTGAATTTTATGTGAATCTGCTATATTTTTTTTGATCATTTAGAAAACTGTCAGCCAATCAGAGGAGAGGATTAGGGCCTCCTGTCTTCTGATGAAGCCTGAGAAAGGAGATGTAAAGCTACATTAAAATGTTATTTGGATGGAATAAAACAATAAATGGCAATAAATCTTATAATGTTGGAAAGCCTGTTTATTTCCCTTTCAAATGGTGCCACATTTGTAAGGAACGTGCATTTGTGGGATGAGCAGCAGAGCTGAGTATGTGGGTTGCGGCAATGAAAAATTTGGAGACAGTGTGATGGTGTGGGGTGACATCTCCCTCACTGGAAAAACAAGGCTTGTCAATGCAGAGAAATGAAGATGAGATTCTGCAACTAGTGGCAATCCAATATCTCCACTGTCTGAGACTGAGCTCTGTCCTTCAAGATGACAATGCTTATCCCCACAGAGCTGGTTTTATCAAAGACTACCTTCAAAATTTGGGACTGAAGAGGAGGGAACGGCCTGTCAGCTGTCCTGACCTCAACCCCATTAAACTCTTCTGGGATCAGCTTAGGCGTGCTGTTCGTGCCAGAGTGACCAACACAATCACGTTGGCTGACTTGCGACAAATGCTCGTTGAGGAATGGGAATACCATCCCACAGCAGTGTGTGAGCAGGCTGGTGACCAGCATGAGGAGGAGGAGCCAGGCTGTTGTATGGTTCTTCCACACTCTACAGAGGCTCCTGTTTGTTAAAAACAAATAAAATGTTAATTTGCCAATACTGAATGTCTTGTTTCTTCAGACCTCAGTCTTCTCATTCACCAGACAAGAGTCACTGGCAGAATAAGCTGTTTGGCATTGGCAGAGAAGATTTTGCAAATTTTTCATGGGTACAACCCGTATACTCAGCTCTGCTGCTCATCTCATAAATGCATATTCCTTACTAATGTGAAAACACACAGGCTTTCCAATGGCATAAGATTTATTGCCAAGAAGCATTGTTACCACAAAGAAGAAATAATCCAATACACACACATTCCCTTACTTTTTGTGTGATCTTTAATAAAATCATCCTTTTATTCAGCATTCACAAAGTTTTTCTGTGATACATTTTCACAAGAACATAACAAAATCAGTCTACTACACTTGGACATAGATAATATATAACATTTGTTGGACTGGTGGAAATGATTTAATGATACTATAAGAAAAGAGTTTTATCATTTGTTACATTATAATATAAATCTCTAGTGTATTCCTTGTGTTGAGGGGAAGTCAGATCATTGGTCTGTGTCATCAAAGACCAGCAGAGTCAAAAACAAACACATTCATTACATTACAGACCAACACTAACTCACACTGAAGACAGTCGAGAGAATGCCCTGATTGGAGCCAAGAACTGGAGCGACATGAAACAGAGGAAGTTAACCACATCCAGAGGAGGGTAATGAAAGATGAATGTAGGCAACCTTTAACAGCAAAACCACAGTCACTCTCTCCATTTCTCACTCCATCCATCTTCTCCCCATCAGACAAAGTTTTGACATGTCTGTCTGCCACTTGCCCCAACACTACACTTTCTCTCCATTATCTCTCTCTGTCTTCATCACATCCCTGCACTCATCCCTCTTTGCCTCCAGCTCACTCACATTCCCCAGTCTCAGCAGTCCACACAGGGATCTTCTAAAACTAGAACACTGAGGCACTGGACGGCAATAATCTCCACGACAAGCAGAGCTGTGAGGCTTTCTGTATGTGCACTGACATTAAATGCTGCACGTCTTTAAGGTCTGATGAAACTTTATTAAGGTTTTTTATTATGGTATTGCAGTATGGTGATGTGATGGATGTGTCTTCACTTGGTCTGCTGGATGTATACAGTGTCAGTGTACAGTCATCAGTTATAGAATAAACCTGACGTAAATGGCTGAGCAACAGGAAGCGACAGGAAGAGGTTAAATCCAACTGAACTGCTTGGACCGACCCCGACGACAACATCAATATCATAAACTCTGACCACTTTCTCAGCATGGATTGTCGACAGTTTCACTGGTGATACTTTTCACTGCAGAGAAAAAGTTATTGAAATTCAAATTCAAAACAACGTTATTAATCCCATGAGGGGCAATTGGTTCTGAGAAAAATTGGTTAAAAGAAAATCTGCAGGCTTCACATCAAACTGTATTTCATTCCTCAGCAAGAGCTGCCTGCAGTTGTGGAACACTGCACAACATGTACTTGTCTTTTCCACCCATCTCCGCCACTCTTCCATGGTCTAACAATGCATTTTGCTCTTCTGGAATTTCGTCCTTGTTTCCTGTGATTGTGTGTTAAATGTATATTGCTTTCATTTGTGTGTCTGTTTTGTGGACCATGGAAATGCTTTTACTTGACCCTTTTCTTGTGTAAAGCGAGTTGTGACATTTGTCTGGGAAAAGAGCTAGATAAAATCTATTATTATTATTTTGCTTCTTCTTTTTGTGGTTGGACATGGTTTCTAGTTGGGAGACATCATCTGTGCATTTCTCTGATGATAGATAGGTGGTGTTGCGTACAAGGCAGGTGAATACGATCTCTTTTACTTAGCCTTAACTTTTAACTTATTAGGTTTACTTATTTGATTTGATTTTAAGATGCGTCCGGTGCTGCAGTCCCATCAATTTCTTTTAAATAATTAAATCCATTATTGTTCTTAACGTCTGTTAGAAATGTGCACTCTACAGCTAGATGATGTGTCTGGATATTGTCTGTGTATTATATGTGAATCTGCCGTATTTTTATTTGATCATTTAGAAAACAGTCAGCCAATCAGAGCAGAGGCTCAGGGCCTCCTGTCTTCTGATGAAGCCAAATGTTTTTTGGTTGGAATAAAACATCACACAAAATGTAAGGAAACTTGTGTTTGGCAGATTATTTCTTTGTTGTAACAATGCTTTTTGGCAATAAATCTTATACTGTTGGAAAGCCTGTTTATTTCCCTTTCAAATGGTGCCACATTTGTAAGGAAATGTGCATATGTGGGATGAGTAGTAGAGCTGAGTATGTGGGTTGTGGCAATGAAAAATTTGCAAAATCTTTTCTGCCAGTGCCACTATGCTCTATGCTGATTGCTGGACCAGTAGATGTTTTGGTGGAGACAGTGTGATGGTGTGGGGCGACATCTCCCTCACTGGAAAAACAAGGCTTTTTTGGTTTTTAAATGATGATGAGCTTTGCAGCTCAGTCTTTCTTTACAACCTGTTAGAAATGTGCATCTACAGCTAGATGATGAGTCTGGTTCATGTTCAAGTCATGTCACGGCATATGTATTGTCTAGATACTTTGTCACACTTCTCTGTCCGTTGTCTTCTGTCATGTAATGTACACCATGTGTACTCTGTAATGTCCTATGTAGTGTAATGTACACTATGTGTATGTATGTAGTTGTGTGCACAGCAGTGTCAGCACCCATGCCAAAGACAGTTTCCTGTCAAGGATAAATAAAGTTTATCTTAATCTCAAGCTCTGGAGGAAGCTGATCTTCTTCTGTGGGACTTTACACTACACTGCCTCGCAGCAGCAGTCACAGAGTGTCATAAACTGGTGCTACAGTACAATATTGAATGGGTCTGACCTAGCTGCTTAGCATGCTAATTTTAGTAGATCTCTCTCAAGTAGAGGAGGTGGTAGATGGTGGTTTTGGTCATGATGCCATCACACTGCCTCCTGAACTTGAGTCAGTGAGTCCATCTGTGTGATGCATCTGAAAATTAGATTGTCTAACAAAGTAAGACTATCCATAATGTATGTGTGTGAGATCCCTACATGTGTGAAAACTGTAAAAATTCCAAGGTTTTTGTATTGATCTAAAGCAATTGGGCAGAATATGGAGTGGTGACAAAACAAGCCTTTCAAGTAATTATTGTACAAAGTGAGAATAGAGCTGGTAATGGTGATAGGGGTGAGGGGCTGGAGAGTAGATAGGCTGGCAAAGACAATGGTGGAGATGGGCTCACAGACAGAAACCCACAGAGCTGGGCAAACAGGTGAGCTGAAGAAACAGATATCCTCCAAACAGGGCAGGCAAACAAACTCCCAACATGCAAGATGAGACTGGAGCAGGTGGCAGGGTGGCATGGGTATGAACCTGGGACAGAGCTACCTAAATGTCCAGTAGACACAGAGGGTGACTGTGAGACATGAGGACACCCAATGACCTTTGTACTGCAATAGGTTATAGTGTTGATTTCATTATCAGAAACAAGTATATAGAGTGAATGGAGACTATAGTGGCACAGTGGTGTAGTTGTTAACACTGTTACCTGTTAGCAAACAGGTTCCGGGATCGATTCCCGGGTCTGGGTGGGGTTTGCATGTCCTTCCTTTGCCCTGTGCGGGTTGTCTATGGGTTCTTTGGCTTCCACTCACAGTCAAAAGACATACAGTACAGTTGGCCCTGACATAGACTGGCAACCTGTCCAGGGTGTTCCCTGCCCTCACCCTCTGTCAGCTGATACTGGCTCCCTCCCCCTACAGGTAAGCGGTACAGTAAATGGATGGGTCAGGAGGAGACGGCAGGAACAGGTGGACTAAGTGCTCACTGTGGGTTAGCCTGATGCAACACCCAACACGTGAATACCACACACCTTCCAAATGACAGTCAAACCATGGATTTAACCACTAAATCGAGACAGGGTAAAATTTTAGAGTGGAACTAGGAACAAAACAGCTGTTGCTTTAGGGATTAGAGGCAAAGCACAAAGGCTAATTCATGATTACACTCAAATTCAAAGCAATGTTAAGCCGCGTACACACAACAGCTTTTTTTAAGACCTACAGCTTCTCTTCCTACACACAGCAGACCAGACACCAGAAACATGTCATTTAAAGCAGCCAGACAACTGACCGATAGAAGCACTGCACTGCTACATCAGTGAGTGGAAATTAGCGAGTGAGTGCAGTGAGACTGAGGTTGTAGATACACTGAGCTGCAATGCTCATCATCATTTGCAAAGCATCAGAAAACAGCAGCTGCTGAAAACAATTTCCCCCTAATCTCAACACAGACAGCACATAGGCATGATTATGAAGCTTCAGTCGTCTCCGGCGCTAATATGTAAGTGAGTGTGTTTGGCATTCACTTGATGATGATTATAATGTTTACAGTGCTGCTCAGACAAGTAGATCAAGGTATGATAAAGAATAGAAGATGTGATGAAGGGGGCCTGAGGCGGCTTCACTCCTCAGTCTCTTGAAAAGTTTCCTGCTGCAGAGGGAGGACGAGCAGAGGCTCCTCTGTCCTGAATCCCTCCCTCTGTTTCTCCATACAGGACAGCACCGCGGAAATAATTCATATTGTGCACAGCCGACATGTCTGGAACGAGAGGAGATGGGAGGAGAGCGGCGTCTGAGTGAGGGAGAGATGGATGGAGGAGTGAAGAGAGCGTGTATGGGACAGAGAGAGACTTGTCAAAACTTGGCCTCTTTACTGCCTCACTGACTGCTTTTAGCATACCGCTCCTACTCTGGGCTGTATGTGTGTGTGTGTTTGTGGCCGAAACACAAACCACCTGCTATCTCCAAACCAATGCTCAACTCCATGGAGCAGTTTTAAGTCACCAAAATTAAATTCTTAAGCAGAAACAAGCAGATAAAGCCCCGGTTCTACTTTACAAATACAGAGAATGAGATAGTCATCAGACAGCGATCTGAAAACACACACAATGGATGCAATGAAAACTCAATATTTCCTCACTCACATACACACTGTGAACATTCCTCCTGTGTTTTCTTGAGGCTACGCTGGCCTGACTGTCTAAAACAGCAAGACATGCTCAATCCAGATGCAATCACCAGAGCTTTGGCAATGTGTGTGTATCTATACTATATTTTGTGTTTATCTTGAACACTGCTAACTCACTAATAATTCTGGAAGTCCTTAAAACTTCCCATGAACCTCTGCAACCTTTTTTGACACCAAAGACCCACAGGAAAGCCACACAGTAACAGGTCAAAATAGGGAGCTGAACTTTGATCATCTGGGGCAAGAAGTAAAGCTCTGCCCTCCACCTGGTCAGCCACCAGACATTCAGTCTTGTTCTTCAGTCTCTCACACGGCTCACAGCCTCCGTCTGGGATCCACAGTAGTTTAATTTTCATTTAGTTCAACTCCAGGATATAGAAGACTTTTATTAGAGGCAGGTCTCTCTGCTTACTGTGTCTTATGGTTGTTTCCTCCTCTGACTCCTTTAGTAATATTGATATATGTAATAGATGTTATTTATTACCTTTAATGGAGGTGATGCCCAGTGTAATGGAAGTGCTCCTCCTCTTCCCTGCAGTTCCTGAAAAGCCAGGAAAATCAGTGGTAGAAGCACTGTCAGTCAGGCAGTCAGTCAGTCAGTCAGTCAGTCAGGCAGGCAGGCAGTCAGTCAGGCAGTTAGGCAGGCAGTCGGCATGCAGTTAGGCAGGCAGTCAGTCAGGCAGGCAGGCAGGCAGGCAGGCAGTTAGGCAGGCGGTCAGGCAGGCAGGCAGCCAGGCAGGCAGTCAGTCAGTCAGGCAGGCAGCCAGGCAGGCAGGCAGTCAGTCAGGCAGGCAGTCAGTCAGGCAGTCAGTCAGTCAGGCAGGCAGTCAGTCAGTGAGTCAGGCAGGCAGGCAGTTAGGCAGTAGGGCTGACCCTGCTGTAGTAGTCCATGATTGTCTTGTATAGTATTGGTTGTTTGTGCATAAGAGGCCCCAGTTACAGGTCCAGATGTCTGATAGCAGGAAATGACACATCTGTCTTACTGTGACACATCTGATGCAGAGGGGGTTGGTACTGAACCTAATACGGTTCTGAAGAATGTTGAAAAGCACCAGAAAAAGAACTTTATTGAACTTATTACTATGATCCAACACTACTAATAAACAAGTTAGTAAGTTTTTGTTATAATCCTGTATTGTAACATTTCACTCCAATTTAAAATACAAGATACAGACAGAAATGTCAAAAATGTTACAGTCACCCATGGTCTGTTACACTGCAGCTCCATACAGGAAGAGGAAATATCAGGTCTTTATGGAGGAGATGGATATCCACAGAGGGGGAAGAGTCTTTTCCACACTGTCATCACCTGTCCTTTACTTAATGGATCGCTCCCTTAGTGTCCACAAATGGACCAGGAGGCCACTGCTCGTAATCCATAAACACACACACACATGCACACACACACACACACACAGTAATCACTAGAGGGGAGCTCCTATAAGGCCATGATACTATACATTACATTAAAAAGGAAAAGGTTCATGTTACTGTCAAAAAAAAGTTACTTGGCTTTGATTACAGCCTAGACAGTGTGTGTATGTGAGAGAGAGAGAGAGAGGGAGAGAGAGAGAGAGAGGAGAATGAGAGAATACCTGAGTCTAACCTTGTTTATGGTGTGGTATTTCATTATAGCTGGATTTCATCTCCAACTTAGGTTCTATGAGGCGACACAAATATGTGTCTGCAAGTTTTTTTCATCCTGACAACATTTGTCAAGGAGCAGGCCAGGGTGTCAGACAGGTGATAGAGAGGGAGGTCACCAGGGAGACGATAATGGAGGGAGAAAGAGAATAATAAAAAATAACTCTCCGTTGTTCCCTCCTTTCTTCTCTTCCTGGCCCTGCAGTCTGGGATGCTAATTTAGTAATTGATCCTGAGAGGCTGCGCTGAGGTTTCTGTGTGAGTGTGTCTGGGGTTACAGCCCTTCTTATTCTGAATCAGGGATGTGGAAGAGGAGGGAGGGTCAGCCCCTGGAGGTTTGTACAGAGAAAAAAAAAAAGGAAAACAGAAACTTCCGAGCAGGAGAGACAGAGGAAGAACAGAGTACAGCAGAGAAGGAAGTGAGGGTAAATTTCCTCTTTTCTTTCATTTTGTTTGGAGTGTTGATCGATTAGAAGATGTATGTGTGGTCTATCTGTCAGTCAATAGATCCCCCCAGCTCTACAGCCTGCACCTTCAGATTCAGTGACTACATCAATCACCATTGACTAGACTGTCAGCATCAGTGGGCTGCACAGTGGTTTGTGTGATTCCCTCCAGCTGTTTTACCATGGAGTGTTTTCTTGTTTGTTGAAAATCAAAACACCTTAAAGATTCATGCTTTTAATGTGGAGGTACATTACCTGCAGTAGGTTCTAATCAGCGGACTAACAGAGCTATTTGTTGCTGCTGTCAGGGAGCTAGGCTGTTTTCTTATGTCCTTTTGTTTATCTCTTGTCTGCAGTCATGTGTGTGCCTGGAACCGGGGTGGGGTCGGTGGTCTTGCAGCCTGCTTACTACTCACCTGGTATTAATCTGCAATCAAGCCATCACCTCACCTTCTGCAATAACAGCCTGGCTCAGATGACGTTCTTCAACAGTTCGTCCACAACCATTGGCTCCCTTTCTGGAAGAGAAGTGTTAGTTTATACTTTCTGCCTGCCTCAGGTTGCTCTCTGGTCTGGTACTCACCTTGCCTCACTCAGCCTCCTCATCTGGTCCTGGTCTGGACACTCTTCTGCAATTTACTCACCTACCCGTCTAGAACCGAAGGAACCTGCAACCCAGCTTGCTTGCTCTCCGTCACTGGAACTCCTGCTCACAGCTTTGAATCTTTTTCATGCATCATGTTCTTTGTTCTGCACAGCAGGTCATTAAGCTCTTATGTATATCCACACATACCAGCTGTGTTCACTCAACTGCTCAGATCTACTGCAGGTAAAATAGTGACTGTACTGTATAAATACCTGACACAACCCCATGCCATAAAACCTGAACTTGATTGGAATTGATTCATGCATTGCCCCTTGAGATGAGCAACCATCTTGTTTTCGAGGGGGTCCAACTTCATGATAGCTTTGACAATTCTGTTTCTCTTGTCACTGTTCCATTTGTATGAAGCTCTAACATGAACACCAATAAAAATCAGAGGAAGACCGAGATCCATCAATAAGGAGGATATGTAAAAACAGATATACAGGAGGATCTGGATTGCCTTTACCTGTTCTAGGAGGATGCAATATACCTATCCTTTGTGGCCTCCTGTATCCCAAGATTCTTTTCATGCCATTATTATTGTTATTATTATTAGCCACATAGCATGCTAGCTATTGGAATGTAGAGACGTCTCTATACTGTAGGCAGCCCCGCTCTGGGCAGGCTTGGAAGCATGGTTGCCCGCTGAGCAGGACTCTGCTGGCTGTATAGCCCAATAGGAGGAGCCAAAGAGCCGTTCAAAGTGTAAAAAAGCTGCCAATTTTAAATGTTTAATGCCAGGATGTTGATTGCGTTCGGATGCATTCAGGAAATGCTCTGAAGGCTAGACCGTCCCATTTACCAATGGTTAATGTGGCCGTCAGTG